TTGTTGAGCAGGATTGAAAATTTAAGTGCAGTATGTAAGAAAAAAGTAAAATCTAAATGGATTGAACAAGTAGTATAGTAGATGATTTTATAGTAGATTTTAAAGTAAATACAGGATCAGAGGTTAATTTCATTTTAATAAGATTGAGAAAAGAGGCGAATTGAAAAAAGTTAATATTACTGTGGTCTGTTAACTTGAAATATAGGTATGACGATGAAAATTTCAACTTAGATTTTATTGTAATAGGCTCCTTGCATCAAATTTTTTTATTGCTGATTTCGATAGTCCATGAAAAATAAGTTAACACGTGTTTTTTCTTTTTCTTCTTAGTCAAAAATTGACGGAGATATAACACTATGAAATCTGCCTATGACGTCACTTATCTAATAAATTAGTGACGTTGCACATGCTCAGTATATCTATATATACAAAACTTAATATTTGAATAACTTCCGCAATAATCATATTTGGGCGAAATATGAAAAAAAAGTAACGATTTTTTTTCGATTTCCTACAGTTTGCAATAAACAATAATCAATTTAATTTTCCATGCAAGTACCCTATTGCAGAAAATTATGTGCCGATTTTTGGACTAGATCCTTGCTTTGACATGGGTCTTATAAAAAAAAGAAGTTCAAAATATTGCAGTAACTAGCAATAAGGATCTTTTTGTTAAGCAAAATAAAGATATTTTTGTGGGATTGGGTCAGTTTAACAAAAAAATGTAAACTCAAGCTGAAAAAAGATTATATTCCATTTTTTAAGCCACCCAGGAAAGTTCCTTTAGCTATTAAAGACAAATTGGAAAGTAAACTTCACGAATTGATTAATAAAGGAGTAATTGCTAAAATTGACACTGACTGAATGGCTTAACAACTTGGTGATCATAGAAAAAAAATATGGATCGCTAAGATTGTGTTTAGATCCAAGAGAATTAAATAATGCATTGGAAAAGGAATTCTATGAAATTCCAAGTCTACATGAAATAAAAGCAAAATTAAACAATAAAAATTACTCTTCTGTGCTCGATTTCAAGGATGGGTTTTATCAGGTAGCTTTGGATGAGGATTCGAGCAGGCTCTGCGCATTTGGTTGTCCTTTCGGTGTCTACAGGTTCTTGAGACTTCCTTTTGGTCTTAATGTTGTACCTGAGTTTTTTCAATAGATTAATACTGAAAACTTGTGATATAGAAGGGGTAATTGTATACTTTGATGACTTGTTGATTGCCGCAAAAACATTGGAGGAGCATGATCGAATCTTGGCTAAGGTTGTTGAGAGAGCTCGCTCCTTGAATCTCAAGTTAAATAGTAGTAAATTGCAATATCGAGTGCAGGAAGTAAAGTATTTGGGAAACATTTTTGATAAATCGGGTATGACACCGGATAATGATAAAATTCTGGCGATAATGAGCCTTGAGGAGCCAAAAACGCCAAAAGAACTTCAAAGATTTCTGGGAATGATTAATTATTTAAGAAACTACATACCCAATTTATCAGAGATATCAACACCATATAGAGAGTGACTTGAGAAAGATGTGGTATGGCTGTGGATTCAGTGGACTGCCAAACAAACGGAATCTCTAAATAATATTAAAAAATTGATAAGTTTTCCACCTGTATTGACTAATTTTAATGAATCTTTACCCTCACACAGTAAAAAAAAATCCCGTGTCAGTCAACTTGAAAAAGAATTTCTAGCAGTGGTCTATGCTTGTCAAAAATTCCATAACTACATATATGGGCATCATGTTGTGATTCATACAGACCATAAGCCTATAGGGCATGTCCATGTGACGTCACAAATGAGTTTGACAGTCGCCCTGAGGTAAAACAAATCATTTATTTACATTCGTTTAGATTAGGCCGGTTATGTTTTATGCGGTTTTCACATCTTTTTCACAAGTTTTGGTGTTATTTTGTTTTAAAAAAGTTAGAACGGAGTGTTTGTGTTCCAGTCTATGTGGTCTTTCATCTAAAAGTTTGCTAGGTTTTTCTACAATGGATTAAATTCAGGTTTTTTCCAACAAATATCAAAACCAAGTGGCACAAGAACAAATATATAAGTATAGTTACTCTATATTCAATCTATTTTTCTATCAGATCTCTTTTTCTCTTCTTTCTTGAGCTAACAAATCAAACCTCCCATTGTTATTTAAAATTGATGGAAACTTATGGAAGGATATTGTATCCCTTGCGCTATACTGCTACAATTAACAATTAAACAAACTCTAGGCATGTCCAATAAACTTCTGGGCACACACAAGGTATTTATTTAAAAAAATCTTACTAAAAACTTAAAAAACACTGTAAATTATATCTTTGTTTTACCTCAAGGCGTTTGTCAATAGTGTCAAACTGTCAGATCGTGTACTTGCCCTATTGAGGAAAAATGAAAAAGGGCGTTGCCGAAGTGCAATCTCCAAGACCTCAAAGAATGAAGGTAAAACTCTTGAAATATGATGTAATTGTTCATTACAAGCCTGGTAATGAGAGGCTCATAGCTGACTTGCTTCCACGTAGCTATATTAGGGAGTCTGGTTATGATCAGAATTTTTCAACTGATATTGTTCATTCAATTTTGTTGAATGAGCGGCAAATAGAGTTTAAGGTAGAAACATCTAAAGACGATGAGCTTAAACTTTTAATGGATATTTGTAATAGGGGTTAGCCATGTAGCATAACACAAGTTCCTGATCTTATTAAAAAGTATTTTGCAAAACGAAATAATATTTACATATTGAACGATTTAATATTCTTAGATGAAAGAGTAATTGTTTCAAAATCACTCAGAAATAAAATGCTAGAACAGCTTCACGAAAATTACTATGGTGTTATTAAAACTCAGCAAAGAGCTAGGCAAATTTTATATTGCCCTCAAATTAATTCTGACATAGAGGAGCTAGTTACAAGTTGTGCTAGATGGGCAAAGTACAAAAATAGCAATCGCAAGGAACCCCTTATTTTACGAAAATCACCAGAGTTTCCCTTTGAAATTGTTGGCAGTGATAATATGGAGTATGAAGGAAAGTCACATTTGGTAGTAATTGATTATTTGAGTAAATGGTTGGAGGTTGTTAAATTGGCATCTAAAACATCAAGCTCTGTTATAGAGGCTTTTAAGCAAGTATTTTCCTCTCAGGGTATTCCGAGACAGGTTGTTGCAGACAATATACCCTTTGATTCATTTGAATGTAGAAAGTTTGAACAGGCATGGAATTTTAATATTGCTACTTCCAGTCCTAATTACCCTAGGTCTAACGGACTAGCAAAGAGGGCTGTGTCAGTTAAAAATATGCTCAAAAAATATAGCGACCTCTTATAGTGCACTTTTAGAATATCGAAATACACAGAAAAAACTGCAGCTCAACTTCTTAATAGCCGTTCTCTCAGGGCTAAGCTACCAGTTATGAAAAACCTATTACAACCTCAGACTATGAAAGGGAGAAAGCAAAAATTGAAAATAAAAGAAAACTATATAAATACTACTATGATAGGCAAACTATGGTTAGGGATCCTTTTGGAGTTAGTGATAGGGTGAATGTGAAAGAGGGTAGGACTTGGCAACCAGGCACAGTTTTGTTGTGTTTATTGAAACACCTTTCTGGTGTTGAGTTTATGAAAACACCTTTCTGGGTGATTATTTTGACAGATGTCAGCTGTATTTTAGTACTCGTGAGCGGTCGTAGCCGATAGTTCGATCTTGTAATTATTTCTCATTTAATCCTAACTTTTCAATTAGTAAAGTGTACCCAAGTTAATAAAACGTGTTTTATTGAAACATAATATCTGGCGACGAGGTCGGTTACTTGCTAGTTTTCGTCGGGATTAGAAATTTGAGAAAAGGGGATCTTTTAGGCTACGTTTCCGTATCCAGTGGAGCTAGGTCCTAGGCGTTTTCAAAAAGACAAACAGAAAAATGGCGCTCATTGGGAATATTGAGCCGTTCAAAGGTCTGATAGGAGATTTTGATACGTATTTGGAAAGGATTGATCACCTGTTTCGTGTAAATAGTGTCACAGATGATAAGATGGAGGTATCCATGTTCATCACCTTAGCAGGTCCTGAGGTGTACCAAAACGTTGAAAAAACTCGTTTCTCCGAAAAAACCAGGGCTGGAACTCTGTAACGGATAGAGATCGTTATCCCTATCGCTAAGGCACTTGCTGTCTTCTTCTCTCTTCTCGAAATCAATAGAGAGGGGACGTCAGTAGAGATAGAGAAAATATCTCTAATCGTTACAGAGTCCCAGCCCAGGCGACTTAACTTTTGAGAGATTGACAACAAAATTAAAAACCCATTATTCACCGCCAGTCTCCGGAAATACATGAACGTTTTGTGTTTAATAAATGCAACCAAAAGCCTGATCAAGGTATTGCAGATTTTGCAGTGGAATTACGCAAGTTAGCTAGCTCTTGTAAGTTTAGACAGTTTTTGGAGGAGGCTTTGCGTGATAAATTTGTGTATGGAGTTCGTTCTGAAAGCATTCAGAAAAAGTTATTGTCAGAAAACCAATTGACCTTCACAAAAGCATGTAAAATTGCCACAGCTGTTGAATTGGCAGAATAACAAGTCCAGAACTTGTCGCTTCGGGGTCTTCGGGTAATGTTAATTACATTAAAGGAAACAAAAACAATAATTATAGACCTGGCAAGTTCTCCAACAATGCTCAACAAGAGCATGCTGTTGACAGTCACAGTAATGATTGCAACAAATGTGGGAGAAATCATGTCAAAAATAAATGCCCCGCTGCCAAATGGAAATTTTTCAAATGTAATAAGTTTGGGCATGCCAGAAATCTATGTTCAACAAAAAGCCATATATTGTAGGAGCAATGGAGCAGCAGGAGGATGTGTATTCGGAAGAAGTGAATACTGATCTATACCACTAAACTACCAATATTTGCCGTGGGGGAGAAAGTATTGGTTGGGAAACTGGGACCGTATTATAGGAAGAAATGGGTACAAGGTGAAATTGTAGAGCACACCAGTGCGGTTACATACATGGTAAAGGTTAGTGGCAAAACAGTGTACAAACATGTCAATAATCTGAGGAAATTACCATTCCCTGAGCAGAATAGTCAATTACAAATTCCATATGACACTGTTCTGCCGCTGGCTGCCACTGTAGGCGCAAAAATGGTGATGGCTTCGCCTGCAGTGACACATCCAGTTTCAAGTGGATCTTTTAATTTGAGTAAATCTGGTACTGAGGCGGAAAATAATGATGAATTAGATAAAGCAATGGCCATGCCTACTTCTTTGGGTACACCCAAGAGTATTACTGGCTCTCCTGATTCTAATATTTCAGAAAACTCTGGATGTGGCTTGAGGCGAAGTGAACGCATTCGAAAACCGCCACCTAAATTAAATCTTTAAATATATTTCTTATATTTACTCATACCTATTCACATTGCTATATAATTATATATAAGTATATCACTTGTTTCAGTAGAAAATGTATTAGTTTATTTCGTTTATTATTTGTGTAGTTAGTTAGCAGTTAGAACTTAAGAAAGAGGAAAATGTTGTGTTTATGGAAACATCTTTCTGGGTGATTATTTTGACAGATGTCAGCTGTATTTTAGTACTTGTGAGCGGTCGTAGCCGATAGTTCGATCTTGTAATTATTTCTCATTTAATCCTAACTTTTCAATTAGTAAAGTGTACACAAGTTAATAAAACGTGTTTTATTGACACATAATAAGTTTCTAAAAGATTGTCTGTTCCCAGGTCCTACATAGTTCAGAAGGATAATAGTCAGGAAGTCCGTAGAAATAAATTTCATTTGAGGAAAAATCGCACATCTGATGAGCTCAATGACGATAATAACTCTCAAACATCTCAGGCTTAGAGAAGTTTCATTGAGAGCTCAACAGATACGCATCCTGATTCTGACATTGGGATATGATAAAAATGGTCGTAGTTTAGAAGTTCTGTTCATTGAGTAGAAGTTTAAAGTTTAAAATATAAATAATATGATTTCCTACCTGAAGGGGGAGATGTGATGATATTTAGAACAACCACGTAAGTTGCTAAACTATGTTGCCAAGTTTAGCATGGCATGATCAGCTTTAGTTTTTAGGGTAGATGTTTCTTGGAGGTTATGTTAAGTTTGGTAGAGAGTTGTTTTGTTTTCAACACAAAAACATGTTTCTTATTTTCAATAGTGTGTAATCGTTTTCTTAATAAAACCAATTATTTGAACCTACGTGTATTACTATCACTCTGTAGTCAATAGTATCACAAGGTATACATGATCCAGTTTCCTGATGCCGCTGTTTTTGATCATTGAGAAAAGTTCTTGAAAATCATAGACGGGCAAGGTAAAGAAAACTGTAGTGCTTTGGATCAATTTTCCAGTTGATGAAAGGGTCAAGAAAAAAATCAGGAAAAAAGTATCAATTCTCTGGAAAAAGGGGCATTTGCCTTCTGGAACGAGCAAATATTAAACTCTCTTCAAAGTGCCCCTTCTGAAAATATACCTCAAAAAGAACGAAATATCAATAAACCTTGACCAGAGTTTTCAGATGACAATACTGATGTTGAAGGGCTTGAATCAAATCCAGATAATGAAGCGAAAAGTTGAGGAGTTACTCGAACCAGCTCAGATTTCTACTACTAAAGTAAAAGTTCTATGTAAATGGCCCTAAATACATTCCAATGTAATTAAAATGCGCAATTCCTATACAAATTCATAATAACATAAAAGGTTTCTTAAATCTCATTATGGAAAATTGCCTTTACAGTCGCAAAACCCCCGAAAAAAATGCTCGACTGTCTCATAAATCGAAGACAAATTTAAAATTTAAATAATATAATTGCAAAATTACACCCAGTCCGAATCAATTTTATAGGCGACGTAGCGATAAATTCGATTAACTATGCCTACGGAGAGCGCGGGGCCCCGTTATTATAGAGCCTGCGAGCTGTTATTTCGTGTGACAGCCTGTAATTAGGTTTCGGTTTCCAGAAAATTGAGTAATGTTCCGAGACTTGATATAGGTAACATCTTTATGAAATTTTCAAATCGATTTTTATTGGGGTTTGATTTAAAGGACACCGAACTTTTGAGTAATTTGACACTAGCCAGTTCAGAGAAAAATAGATTCTTTTACAATACAATATTTACATATTTTGCTTAATCTGTTAGTTAGATTTCCAGAACTTTTTTTTTCTTCTCATGAAGCCTCAGTTATGGTGATTTGAAAACAGTGAAACGACAACAGAAGATAGTTGAGAAGTATAATTTGAATAACAAAAATCAAGTGTAGGAGTAAGGTCAGATAGGAAAGTCTGGAAGAATATAAATCAAAAACCGATATTCAACCAGACCTGAGAGGGAAGTGGGAGTAATGATATTAATCACCTTTTGCGCTATTTTTGAGGATTGTTATCGTTATCTGAGAAAGTTTATTTCAAAATAAGCATATCGAGGTATCATTACACATTGTAACATGTAACATGTATATCCATAGCCTTTGAACTTAGTCCAAAAACTACGAATTCCATCCACCATTTGCTTTAATTTCAGTCACTTTTACTTCTTTTTTTTCTGACACTCTAAATTGATCGTGTGTACAACACAGTTCACCTAACAACATAAATTATTTCCACTAAAAAGAAACACTCCCTAATCCCTATACAAAGACAAATACCAGATGCGTACCTTCTTCTTTTACACACATGATCACGTTTAGGCGATAAATAACTATCAAAAAGTGTTAGATGTTACCGGCGATATTGTCACCTTGTATTATGCGTGCCCTTATCTACCGAAGAAATCGAATATGGGCCTTTATGGTATGTTGGAGGCTTTTGTTGTATTGCTTCCGAACCAGTTTGTATACATTTTTACGACCAATTTGATTTCCCTTATTTTCTAGGCGTAATGTCATGTTTTCAAAAGATTAAAAGAGGTCACTCTTATTACCTACCCTAATCCCAAGCTTCGTTGACCCAAAAATCACCACAATATTGAAGCCTCAGTTTCACCGTTGTAATATAAAATTGGATATATCCTGCCTAATCTGATTAGTGGTTATTTACATGCGGTATCCGATTTCGTCTGTGGTTATTTTATTAACACCTGATAATATTTCGATATTTGAACTCCTGGCTTGAATACCTTGTGGCCTCATTTCTTAGGAATGTTCTTCTGTTATATGGAAGATGATAAAATATTTAGAATTTTAATAATTTTCAAGGGTGCTTAAAAGTGTCGTTTTCATCGGAGGAAATTGAATGAAATCTATTGAACTTGATACTTCCATTAGCAGAAATTGCAAAGCATGAGTTACGCAATCCTAGTGTTACCCTGGCCTGCTTGGTCACCAGACCTAAACCGCATTGATATATGTACTACAGAGAGATGTTCTAAGAAGAGGCAAGTTATTACTATGAGAGCAATTTAAATATTTGGAGAACATCCTACCTACATAATTCAATTAATTTCAAAGTAATATCTTCTGATTACCCAAATTTTTTCCTTTCGGTACCTATTAAACCTAAATTTTTCTCAAACTGGTCAAGGCAAGAATTTAAAATGCCTAAAATTACGATGACACCGATTGGGTACTTTACCGGCAACAATTTAAAATGTTGAATATTGCAGTGGCGTAGGCGCTTTAGAAGTCAATCAATCAATCAATCTTTCTCCATTTCAAGTACCTAGGTACCACCCTCACGCTCAGACTGTCCATCATCGAAACAATAAAACGTATCCTATGCAAAGGTACCGTATCGAATTGCATCTCCCACGCATTCTAATAGCCGTTTTGTCTAGTAATGTAGCATCTAAAACACGCCTCTGCCTGGTCGTAATAATAAAACGCATTATTGCGGGTGATAAATTAGTTTTCAATATTGCCTGTCCTGGTGTATTGTGACGGCCACGACTTTCTCATTCACTTTGGAATCTTGCGTTTCATTCAGCTTGTTCGCAATAGAGATTCCCTACTCCTTTGGCGGCTTTATTATGTAAAATAGAGACGATAAAATCTATTATTAGATTTAGGTAAATTGTTGTTATGCCATGTATGGTGTTTTCTTTGTTTTTGCGCGTAGGACTAGGAGATAAATTAAAAATATTAATTTTGGTTTCTCTAATAAATCTTTCGGTTATCGAGGTATTTTAATGCACCAACACCTACAATATCTTTCGGCTTTTGCTGATATGCTTTTTGAAATTTCTACATTTGGACATAAATCTAATTAAATACATAAATAACATGCCATAGAATTCCTCTATAAGAAAACTAAAGATGTTTAGAAGGATTATGTTGTTCTCAATCGTTCTCATTTCTGATATTTTTCCCTTGTTCTTTTCTCTGTTGGAGTTTAAGTGAGTATTGTTCCAGTGAAAGTATCTTTACTAGTTCAGCTGTTTTGTTCATAATTCATCTGTCATTTTGTGGTCCAGTTCTATCGTTTCATTTAGGGGTTTTCTCTGCTGTTCTTGTCCAGAAGTTCATGTCTTTTGCCTTTGTGGTACTTTTGTTATTTTCTGTACATAGTTTTTGTTACAAGTATTAATTATTATCATATTGTATTGGTCATTGCTATTAGTTTTTCATCATTGTGAATGTCGTGTATTTTATAATTTTAGTTTAATAAAGCCTTATTTCTAATGGTTAAAGGTAATTCAGTAAATCACTACAATTTAATAAACAAGATAAGTGAACTCTTAAGACCTGAACGATTCGACGCTGATCAAAACTCTCCAAAAGCTGCACAAGAGTGGACTCACTGGAAAGCCACTTTCAACAATTTCATATCATCCGTTGATAAGCTAGAAAATGATGGAAAACTGAAACTCTTGGTGAACTATGTAAGCCAGAACAAGTATGAGCACATATCCTCCTATTCTTCTTACTCAGAAGCTATTAAGATTCTGGATTCAATTTTGATTAAAACTAAAAATGAAATATTTACCACAACAGCCTTATAGTTTTAAATGTCAGGTCATTGCTTTGTAAACTTAGAAATGATGGGGCATACATACAGAAAATTACGTTTATCAGTTCTTTCCGATTTATGTGCTGATGTCATTATAGGTCATGATATTCTTACACAGCATTCAACTTCAAGAGTTATCTTTTGGAGGTTCTAAGCTTCCCTTGTATATTGACAACTCATCATCGATTTGTAGTTTGGCGTTCCTAAAAATTGATCCGCCTACAATATTTTCAAATCCATCAGCAGACTGCAGGCCAATTGCAACAAAGGTCTAGATGATTTTCACCAGAAGATAGACACTTTATTTCTATTGAAATAAGAAACCTTTTTTTTAAATAAAATCATAGAAGAAAGCAACTCTCCTTGGCGGGCACAGGTGTTGGTAACGAAAAATGAAACGCACGAGAAAAGGATGGTGATCG